AGCTGCTGAAGGCTCGTCCAGGATTGGATATCATAGTTTAAGTCATACCATGTTTCCTTGCACTGCCTTATTTAATATGCCTGCTTGGAGCTTGTGCTGCTGGAAGTGTCGCCCATTTAAGTTTTTAGTTTGCTTAAGTATTTTATAAAATCTAGTGCATGTCTGTGTTTTTTTTTTTCAAAATATTCTGTAATATTGGTGTGTTTTGAAATAGCTATTGATCATCCAACACAGAACAAGAAGTAAAAAGTACAATAGTTTAGAAAACTGTTAATAAATAGTCAAGATAAAGGGAAAATGCTATTGTTACAAGGCAAAAGGAAGAAATCATAAATACTTCCAGTACATGTTGAGTCCATGATCGCATCCTGATCTGTCAGGTACATTTGGTAGGCATTGATTTTGTTCCAAACGTGAGTGATATGTTAAAGTGATACTAAAGGCTTATTTTTTTAAAGAAAAAATAACAAACATGCCTATACGTACCTGCTGTGTGCAGTGGTTTTGCACAGAGCAGCCCGCATCCTCCTCTTCTCAGGTCCCCCTGCAGGCTCTCCTGGCCCCTCCCTCTTGTGGGGTGCCCCCACAGCAAGCAGCTTGCTATGGGGGCACCCGCTGCTCCATGTGTCCATTCACACACAGAGCCACTGCTTTGCCCCACCTCCTCTCTTTTCTCATTGGCTCACTGGCTGTGATTGACAGCAGTGGGAGGCTCCCACTTCTGTCTAAGCCAATGAGAAGAGGGAGTCCCAGGATAGCTGAGACTCCAGTGCACATCACTGAATCGAGAGGGGGCTTAGGTTAGTATTAGGGGGGGCTGGGGGGATACTGCACACAGAAGGTTTTTTACCTTCATGCATAGAATGTATTTAGAGCCACTTTAATTGTGCAGACACACAGGGTTAATTTGCTGAAGCAGAAGCAAGTTCACTTGGTCCAGAAATTCTGTGTTCACTTAAAGAATATATAAACCCAACATTTCCTATTCCTGATATATGCCTGCTGTACCATATACAATCATCCTGTTCTCTATGTATTGCTTCCTTTATGTGAAATCCATGGTGCTCCTGCTAGTCCCTCTGCTTTCCTACTAAAACTGACCACACTAGCCAGGAGAGCACACTGTGGTCAGTTCTCTAGCTTCAGATCCTGAAGAAGCCACATGACAGTGGCGTAACGCGTGGATCGCATTGCTCAGCGCTGTACATTATAGTGGGGGACAGAACATGAGACAATACAGTAGCAAAACAAAACATGAGGGGTTCAAGGGCCCTGCTCTTTTCGAGCTTACAATCTAGAAGGGAGGGGATAGTGGGACAGGAGGAAATGGCTGTGGGGGATGGAGTGGTAGGAGAGAGGAGGAGATCGGCTGTTAGGTGAGGGTGGGGTAGGCTTCCCTGAAGAGATGGGTTTTCAGGGTGCGCCTAAAGGTGAGGAGGGTAGGTCATAGTATGATGGATTGGCGTAGTGAGTTCCAGAGGATGGGGGAAGTCCTGGAGAAGTCTTGCAGTCGGGCGTGGGAGGTGGAGACCAGGGAGCTAAAAAGTAGGAGGTCTTGTGAGGAGCGAAGATTACGGGTAGGGTGGTATTTGGGTATCAGGTCGGTGAGGTAGTTTGGGGTAGGTAGTTTGAATGGCTTTGTATGTCTGTTTTAGTAGTTTGAATTTAATGTGCTGGCCAATCGGGAGCCAGTGGAGGGAATGACAGAGAGGGGTGGCAGAAGCGGAGCGGTTGGTAAGGTGGATGAGTCTGAATTCAGGATAGACTGAAGCGGGATAGTCTGTGATGAGGTAGGCCGGTGAGAAGGGAGTTGCAGTAGTCCAGACGTGAGATAATAGGGGAGTGAACGAGTTGTTTAGTAGTGTCTGGGGTTAGGAACGGACGTATTTTGGAGATGTTGCGGAGGTGGAGCCTGCATGAGTTTGCCAACGATTGGACATGGGGTTGGAAGGACAGGTTTGAGTCTAGAGTGACACCTAGGACTTTGGCTTGCGGGGTGGGACTGATGGTGGCATTGTTCGTCGTGATGGAGAGGGTGGGGGGGGAGGGCGCGGGCTGGGGGGAAAATCAGGAGCTCGGTTTTGGAAAGGTTCAATTTGAGGAAATGGAGCGACATCCAGTCTGATATGTCGTTCAGTAGGTGGGTGATACGGGCGGAGACTGAAGGGGTGAGGCGAAAGGTGGAGAGGTAAATTTCGTGTCATCGGCGTAGAGGTGATAGTTGAAGCCGTGGGAGTGTATCAGTTTGCCAAGGGAGGAGGTGTAGATGGAGAAGAGAAGGTGCCCGAGGACAGAGCCTTGGGGGACCCCAACAGACAGGGGGAGAGAGGGGGAGGTGGTAGCGTTATAGGTAACGCTGAAGGAGCGTTGGGATAGATAGGAGGAGAGCCAGGAGAGAGCGGAGTCTCTGATGCTGAGGGAGTGTAGTTTATTAAGGAGGAGGGGGTGGTCAACTGTGATGAAGGCCATGGAAAGGTCAAGGAGTAAGAGGACTGAGTAGTGGCCATTAGCTTTGGCGGTTAGCAGGTAATTAATGATTCTGAGTAGGGCAGTTTCGGTGGAGTGTAGGGGACGGAATCTAGACTGTAGTGGATCGAGGAGGTTGTCAGTGAGGTGGGCGCTTAGGCAATTGTAGACTAAGCGCTCAAGGAGCTTGGAAGTAAATGACAGCAGGGAGCTGGGTCTAAGGTTGTTCAGGTCGGTGGGGTCCAGGGAGGGTTTATTGAGTATGGGGGTGATGTGCGCATGCTTTAGGGGGGAGGGGAATGCGCCAGTAGAGAGGGAGAGATTGAAGATGTGGGTGAGGGAGCGTAGGATGGAGGAGGAGGGTGACCGGAGGAGTTGTTTGGGGATAGGGTCAAGGGGGCAAGTGGTGAGACGGGCTTCTGAGAAGACCTTAGTGACCTCCTCAGTGGTAGCAAGGCTGAAGGAGCGGAGTGTTGGGGTGGTTATAGTGTGCGGGATGTTAGGTGTGGTAGGGGGTAGGGCGGTTGCGAGGTCAGAGGAGTGGAGAGTTGATGGGGTTATAGTGGGAGGGAGGCTAGGTGGGGAGGTAGGTTGAGCATTGGCGATGTCCTTACGGATTGCGTCGATCTTATTTTGGAAGTGATTGGCAATCTCGTGGTTGGTGAGTGAGGTACTGGGTGGGGGTGGAGGGGAGAGAGTAGGTAGTTGAAAGTGGAGAAGAGCCGGCCAGGACAGGTGGAGAAGGTGTTGATGAGGGTTACGAAGTAGGCTTGTTTGGCGACGTGGAGGGAGGAGGAGTAGGTGAGGAAGGCGGATTTGTAGAGGGAGAATGCTCGAGGAGATTTGGTTTTGCGCCATAATCGTTCCAGCGTGCGACTGCGTCGTTATCACTCTGTCAGCCTCAAACTCAACCCCTAGCACATCTAGGTGGGCCATCCCAATATCGGTGGCTTGTAGACAAGACAACCTATTATGATAAATGGTGGAAAGCTCCCTTGTAAGATACCTATGCTAATGTGAATTATTTGGTTTTGTGTAAATATTGATTTAAGTTTGCTCTTAACTGTTGTGTTAAGTTAATGCAAAGTTATGGAAACTTACATTATTACACTCTGTCCCTCCTTTGGGGGATAAAAGGTTTTTTGGTGGGGGAGTGTGTAGCTGGGCAGCCAATCCTTCCCCCCTAGCTCATATGCCTTTTCTCTCCACCAGTTTAAACAGCTGGCTGTGCTGTGACAGGGGCGAGGTAAACTACAGGTTGTCTGCGTAAGGCTCCATATACACCAGCCTACCCTGACTGCCAACCACGGGAAAGCACAAATCGCGGCAAAACTACAGCAAAATGCGGCAATCATGGTACAATGATTGTGCCGCGGTTTTGCCACATTTTGAATTTTTCCGTGGTGGGTGGTCAAAACGTTCCTATCCTGAACTCGATTCTTCCAGGAGAGGGAGGTTTAACCTTACCTGAATGCGGCAGCTCCTAAACTCTGCTAATAGCCTATGTGTACATGGACACATAGGTATTTATGGAGTTGAGTTTAGGAGCTTTGGCAAAAAAATGCCAAAAGCTCCTAAATTCGAGTTTAGTAGCTGCTCATGTACATGAAACCTAACTCCTCGCTTGCCCCCTCCTCCTGCCAGCAGCATGGTGTTTAACCACAAGAGAGGACTATGTGTGTGGACTCTCTTACCCCTCTCCTATATTGGACTAATCAGCAAGGAGGAGAGAACCAGATTTTTCTGGAAAACGTTTTCTCAGCTGAGCACTACAGAGTGTGTGAGAGGACTGTGCTGGGAGACGCCAACTGAAGAAAAGAGAGCCATTTCCAGCAAAAGCTCACTGCCATGTGTGGGATTATCAGAGGGTACAGAGCATGACCTGAGTGTGGAGGGATGAAGCTGCTGCCAGGGTATGGACCTGCTGTGCTGTCTACCAAAGTGGCCACAGGCAACCCAGAGTGAGTGAACTTTGAATGGCGGGATCACTCCTGCTGTGTCTCTAGGTCTGGTGAGAGGGCCTTGTAGCCGCTACTTTGTAACATATCATATAGTTACATTGTAAAGTTGAATATAGACAATAGTCCATCCAGTTCAAGCTGTGTGGGTATGTGTGTACTTGTTACCATCACTAGAGACTGAGCTTTTAGGAACTACCTAACAGCAACCTTCTAGCTCTAATACTGCCTGCAGGCCTTATTGAGTGTTTAAAGTACGCCAACGGTTAAGGGGCACTCAATGCTTAGCCAGCTGCAGAGTCAGGATTAAAGACTGTCCCTAACAGTTGCTGCCCTGAGGCCTTGTCCTTTTACTTAGTTAAAGAGGTACCTCTTAAGTGATGCTGTACCCAACAGGGGCGGACTGACCATTTGGAAACTCAGGCACTGCCCGAAGGCCTGGGGTCAGTAGAGGGCCCCCATGAGATGCCCCTGGTACCTTTTTCATAGGCTTTTTTGAGTTTGGGCAAGGACACAGGGGCCCCATGATCCCCTATTGCCCAGAGGCACCATGAGTTGTCAGTCCGCCCCTGGTACTTTAGTATGTACTCCAGTGTGGTATTAGCCTCATTTATGATACATTTAACATTTAATAATATTGTTTATTGCTGATTTATTAACCGCTTCCCGTCCACCCTAGAGCAGAAGTACTGCTACAGGGTGGCACGGGTGCGCAAAATCACATATACATATATATATATACGTGATTTTGCATTCCTCAGCTGTAAATCACCAGTGATTACTGGCCGGCGCTCGGTGATTGCCGAGCATCTCCGAAGGGGGGGGGGGGGGGGGAGAACTGTTTGAAAACAAAACAGTTCTCTCCCCTGTCAGCTTACAGTGAAGCACAAACACAGGACACAATGTAAAATGGCACACTGCACACAGTTAACCCTTTGCTCTCCCCAGATGTTAACCCTTTCCTGCCCAGTGCCAGTAGTACAGTGTCAGTGCTTTTTATTAGCACTGATCACTGTATTGGTGTCACTGGGGATGTCAATGACACCAAGTCAGTTCCCCCCAGTGTCAGAATGCCCGCTGAAGTTCCACTATAAGTCACTGATAGCCACCATTACTAGTAAAAATAAAATAAAAACTCCCAGTATATATACCACCATTTGTAAACACTATAAACTTTCACATAAACCAATTAATTTACACGTATTGGGATTCTTTTTAGGAAAAAACATGTAACAGAATTCATTTTGGCTTAAATTTATGATGAAATTTGACTTTTTAAATGTTTTTACTGGACATATTTAATAGCAAAAAAGTAAAAAAAAAAATTGTTTTTTTTTCAAAATTGTCGGCCTTTTTTTTTTCTAAAGTGCAAAAAATAAAAAATGCACAGCTGATCAAATACCACCAAAAGAAAGCTGTTTGTGGAAAAAAGAGGACGTACATTCCATTTGGGTGCAGGGTTGCATGGCTGCGCAATTGTTAGTTAAAGTAATGCAGCGCCGTAATGCAAAAAATGGCCTGGTCAGGCAAGTGGCTAACTCACCTTTTGATTGTTTGTCAGGTACAAATCTCCCCACCACCACTTTGCCGTCACTTCACGGCTTGTTTTCATGTACTTTGACAACTCTTATGCTTCTTGGTTTACAATTTATTGTGAGTGCTGGGGCTGTGCTTCAGGCATGCAATCTCATTTGTTTTTGGTTTCACCTTTTGATTCTAGCTAGTGGTATAAAATCTTTTTGCCAGTTTGGCATAGTTATTACTCTGTCTAGCAGACTGTGTCATAACCTACCTGTGTGTGCTCATTTATGTTCAAATTTACATTTATTCTAACCCATATCAATAGACTAAAATGATGTACCACTAAATGTACGCCCCTTGAGGGTTAGGGACTGATGTGAATGTACAATATGTATGTAAAGCACTGCACAAATTGACGGCGCTATATAAGTATCTGTAGTAAATAAATAATAAATGGGTCTTTGTCTATTTAATAACCCACAGCCAGGTTAAGGTTTTTTAGATTTGTCTCTTTACTCAGGTCTGCAGTGATTTTTACTCAACCAGGTCTGTCAGAGGGGCTGAAGTTGTTCTTGGCGTTGAGGCAATGGTGTATTTAGGTTTTGTGCTGCCCTAGGCAACACAAAAATTGGTGCCCCCCCGCAGAGAGAGCCTGACATTGACCAACAATACCCCTGACTCCCACCCGAGAGAGCCTTTCACTACCACTGCTCCTTGTACACCAGCCACCATCCTTCATGGCGAGAGAGAGAAAGACACTCACCTTCACAGATCCGGACATCCCTGGGAACAAGAGTCGGGCTGTGCATACACCGTCATGAAACCCACAACCTCTCTTGGAGCCCACCAGGTCCCCATGCCGTGTGTGTCCCTTCTTCTGTCCCTTCTTCCCCCTGAAAAATGCCACCCTAGGCAAATGCCTTGTTTGCCTTGTGGTAAATACACCCCTGCGTTGAGGCGCAGAATAGAGGACCCAAAGTTATCAAGTGTCTCCTTCGGGGGTGGTGCTACCCTTTCAGCAGAGAAGATCTTACCCCAGAGTGTGCTAAATATACATTTTAAAAAGTCACTACTACCTGCCAGCATTTGCTGGTGCCTGCAGCCATGACCTAAGGATAATGAATCCAAGTTATACATTCACTAAATCAAATTCCCAACAGTTCATCTTTCCAGAACTCCTGTTATATGGATACATTCATGATTGCAACTGAGGTATTACACAGAGATGTCAAATCTGTTGGTTGACTTTTCTTTTGAAAATAAACAAAGGTTAATAAGAAAACTATAATGGGTTTGGGCAGGTTTTATTTTTTTGCATACTTTTTTATACACATTTACATACATTTATAAATGTTTTATGTAACTTTTGTATTACAGGAACAAAATCTTAATTTCATAAATATACATCAAATATGGCTTGCTTCCTTGCCATTCTGTTCAAAGGGCCTTTTACTAAGAATATAGCCCAACAGAAGCTGCTCATTTCTATACTAAGACCTCTTGCGGCCGTGAAGCAATGCAATGCAAAAATGATACATCTCTCATGTACTGCCACCAAATGTGACCATTCAAGTGAATGAAGCTGTGCCACAACCACGAGCAAAAGCTAGGCTTGTGGAGCGACATGGTATTCCTATTCAAAAACCATGCTTGGCTGTCAAAAAAATAAAAAAACATTCAAAAGTCAGCATAACACCTTTTGAATTCCGGTCAGCCACTCCTGTACCGTTCTCTGAAAAGCAATCCACTACGGATGCTTTTCAAAGATTGCTGCAGGCCTGAAGGCCTGACAAAAACTCTATATTGATGGGTATAAACCATAGGCAGGAGGGGGACTAAAACTGCATGTGTTTTAATCATAGAAATAAAGAAGTGCAGGAACCTGCCATCAACTCCATCTGTTGGATGAACATGGTAAATATAAAAAATACATATGCAATATAAAATGAAAAACGATGTTTAATTTTTTATTTATGAGCATAATAAAAAGTTAAATAAAAAATAAATGCTTATACATTATTTCCTAGGAATTTTATTTTTGCTTACACTGCTTGATTTTTTTCTATAATGTGTCATCAATTGTTTTTAAGATACAACATTTGGTGAAGTGTTCTTGTGATTGCAGACCTTTAGAATGGAACAGACTTTTTTTCTTTTTTTTTTTCTAATGGAAGCTAACGGCTGAACCATTCACACTCTATTAGATTGTAACTTGCTATATTTGTCAAACTAATGTTTCAGTCAAGGATTAATTTCAGTGCTAAGAACAAAACAATTGCCATAAGGGTACATTTGAGAAAACCCTCATACATTTGCTGTTCTTTTCAATGACAGGCGACTTAACACGCCTTTCTTACTTTCCATGTCGTTGTTTATAATTATTCTACAACTAATATTTGCAGCATTATTAATGAGGCTTCTAGGAATAATATACAGCTGAATATAATTTGGTAGCTGAGGGGCATATGCTTTTCATAAACGATGTAATTAGAAATATTTCCAGTCTGCAAATGAACCATTACCCTTACAGAATGATTAAATGGCAGCAAAAGCAATTTTTCATCACAGTCTAGTCTATCAGTTCTATCTAGACAAGACATTATTAATCCTCTAATGCACTGAGTATCAGATACAGATCTTAAATTCTTCCATATACAGTACAGTATCCATAGATAACAACACAAACAGCCTTATTAAAAATATCTGTTATTAGTTAGCTGATATCTTATTATTTATTATTACAGATATTCTTTATTATTTGCTTGAATTTAGTAGGTATGTCAACCTGACATTTTAGATACTGCTAGGTAAGTGCAGGTTCCACAATTTTCCTACTTAGTTCTCCCAGCTTTGAACATCTGACACATTAGAATGAATACACATTTGTTTGACTTTGTAGGGCTGTGGTGGTGCTATTAGGAACTTAGGTGGGTACACCATGCTACTGAAATCTTCTGCAAGCCATGATTGCTACTGAAGTCTTCTGCAAGTAGTTTTTTTAAAAATCTTACCAGTAGCCTTAAAGTGATTCTATTTTATTAAAATAATAGATATGTTATATTTACCTAGTCTGTACAATGGTTTTGCACAGAGCAGCCTGGATCGTCCTCTTCTTGGGTCTCCTATTGATGAACCTAGCTCCACCCCCCACCGAGTGCCCCCAAAGCAGGCGGCTTGCTCTGGGGGGGACTTGTGCGTGCTTGTTCCCAAACCCTGCTCTGTGTGTCTATAAGGGGCTCGGCCCTGCCCCCCCACTCCTCATCACAGACTCTGATTGACAGCGGGGGGAGCCAATGGCTCCCGCTCAGTGGCGTCCCGAGGCAGGTGCGAGGGGTGCGCGCCACACTGGGTGACACCTACCACACGGGGTGACACTGGACCAGCTCCACGAAAAGGTACGTTGTAAAGCAAGCCGATGATCCCCACAGGATGGTTCCGATCCGATGGATTGGTTTTGGAAAGCATCCATGGTGGATTGCTTTTCAGAGAATGGTGCAGGAGTGGGCTGACCAGAATTCAAAAGGTGTTATGCTGACTTTTGAATGTTTTTTATTTATTTTTTTGACAGCCAAGTATGGTTTTTGAATAGGAATACCATGCCGCTCCACAAGCCTAGCCTAGATCTGCGGATTGGGGAGCATAATGTATCGGAGTATGATCCATTATGCTCAATCCGTAGATCTGATCCATTCTGCGGGGATCGTCTGAGGGGGTGTCACCAAGTGTAATAGCACCGGTTGACACCAACCCTAGGGATGCCCCTGCTCCCGCTGCTGTATCTGAACCAGTGAGGAGAAAGAAAGCCAAGAGAACCTCAGCTCTTGTGCACATCACTGGATCAAGTTAAGGTACAGGTATGTATTTAGGGGGCTGCAGGGGGAGTTGCACACAGAAGGTTATTTTTACCATACATAACTGCATAGAATGCAGTAAGGTAAAAACCTTTTGTTTTTACAACCACCTTAAAAGGTAATGCCTTTTTTGTTGGAAAAATTATCAAACAAAAAAAATAATATAGCATATATAATTGCTAGACAAGTTATAATGTAATTGAATGTTACTAAAAATCACCTTTCCTTTGCAATCTGCAGCACTGTAATTTACTGTAAAATGC